ATAATAAAATTGCTGGACACCTAACTTGAATAGCCCTAACTGCAGTATTCCAAAGATATGTGACCTCTGAAATTTGTTAAAAGACTCACAACAGGAAACAAATAAAATTTAAAATATCAAGGTGCTTTAAAAATATTCAAGGAAAAAAATTTTAAAAATAAAACATGAAAAAAAATGTAGGGCAAATGACAAAGCAGGTCAAATCCCCTAGCAGCACTGAGTGAAGTTTATACCAGTACTAAGAATGTTACATTTCTACCAACATCGTGCATACAAAAGCCTATAAAACACAGACAGAAATATTTTCTAAGAACTGGCTTTTCTAACTCCTAGACTTTAACTTTTAAAGGATAAGGGATGATGATGAAGAAAAAGATGACAGGGAAACAGGAGACCCCAAACTCCAGCTCCCCCAGGGAACAGCACCTCCCCTTCCCCACTTCACTTTCTGAGGATCAAGTCTTTGCACTAAAAGATGTATCATTGGCAGCTTCTTCTCAGTCTTTGACTTAAAGCTTTTTAAAAATTTTTTATTTATTTTTATTTTATGTGTATGAGTTTATCGCCTGCATGTGTGTTAAGTGCACCCAAGTGATACAGTGCCCACAGAGGACAGAAGAGGATGTTAGACCCTTGGTTCTGGATCCAGCCCCTGACTTAGAGTTTTAACAGAAAAAAATACAAACTTTAAATTCATTATCCTCAAGCCCTGTTTCCTTTTACACAAGGCCCCTTAAAAAACAAAAACAAAACCAAAAACAAACAAAAAAACCCTGCAATGCTCCTGCTCTGAAAACCTTGTTTCCTACCTGTTATTTTCTGCCAATCAGCTAACTGTTTAGACACTTGTTCCTCACCTCCCTGCAGGGCTAAAAGCTGCCTGTGTCTTTCGTACTTACCAAGTTGATTTTATGTGATTGTGGGGGAAAATATATAGTAAACGAAGCTTAGCTATCATCTCATGAAATCTTCCCATTGAATAATGATGAGCCTCAGGCCCACAAAAGCTAAAATGGCTTTCCTAAAACCACATAGGCATGCAATCTTTCCTGTCTACTTAATCTTCCACTGAATCATGCTACTTCCCTCTTGCTATGAGGCTGAGAATCAGAGACACAGGTATTTAAACAAAGACAACCTGATACACTGGGATTACCCAGACCAAATCAAATCTAAAACACACCATTTATTTATTTTAAATGATTCACTAAATAAAGAAATCCCTATTGTGTGCCCGCCACTGAACTCCTCATTTGGGGCACACAGCAGTGAATATGATAGGCATCGCCAAAGTTTATCTCACAAGCTCAGGGATGGAACTTAGAGCCTCATGCATGTGAAGTACATGCTCTACCCTCAACACTCTCAGAAATACGGTAGACTCTCCATCTCTCCCTTATCCATTCCTCCCTGATTCTGCGTGTTAGCCATTTTCTAGATCCCCTTCCAAGTCCCAACTGATGACAAATTGGGTTAATAATAGTTACATGCTTATTTAGAATAGGCAAAATTTGATAAAAATCTTAAAAGCCAACCAGTTGACAATGCTGAGTGCTGGCAAGGATGTCAAGAAACCTGAACCAACACATGCTGCTGATGGGAACACAAAATTGCACAGAACTCTGGAAAACAGCTTGGCAATTTTATCAAATGTTGCATCTAGTCACCATATAGCCCAGGATTTCTACTACTGGATATCCAGTACAAATAAAAAGTTATCTTTACCCCCAAAAAGCTCTAGGTAATTATTTATGGCACCATTATTTGTGATTGCCAAAAACTAGGACTAAGCCAACTGTCAGTTCAGGGTGAGTGGACGATAACCACTACTCAGCAATGGAGATAAACTACTAATGCAGGCAGCATGCTGAGTTAATCTCAGATGCACTGTGCTGTATGATAGAGGCCAAACCCAAGAGGCATTTTTTTTTAAGCAGCAGCCTTTTATGTGATATTCTGCACAAGGCAAAGTTGCAAGGGAAAGAAATCAGTGGTTGGCAAAGGCTAGAGTAGATGCCAGTCTGACAAAGGATGGTACCAGAAAGCCTGGCAGTGAGGGAAAGGCTACTTGACTGCAGAATAGGCACTGGTGGAAAACACACATCTACTAGTTTTCTTCTTTTTCCTTTTCTTTCTTGCTTGCTTCCCCTCCCCCACCCCCTTTATTTTTCTTTCTTTCCTCCTCCCCCACTCCTTCCCCCAGCCCCTTCAGTGCTAGAGACTGAATCTAGGAAGGTATCATGCGTACTAAGCATATGCTCTGCCACTGAGCTACATGGCCAGCACTGGTATCTTTAAGTATGAGCCAGATATAGCTGCACCTGCCTATAACCTCAGCACTTGGAAGGCAGAGACAAAAGGGTCATGAGTTTGAAGATACATAGTAAATTTGAGGCCAGCCTGAGCTACATAGTGATGCCTTATCTAAAAAAAAAAAATTATAAGCTGGAATAAAATCTAATACAATATTCACTATTTCCTTATGATCTGAGAGATTTTATACTTCTGAATTATTTCAATAATAATCTAAAATTACTTTCTGGCTTTTATAATAGGTCAAGTATTATTTCATATATTTGATGTACACAGACTTTAACAGTCACAACAGTCACATGATGTGGATATGTTCATTACCTCCATCTTATATACAAGGAAATTATTACAG